TTAATTTTTCTTTATTATTGAATTCCTTTTTTCTGATTTATAATTTTGTAGTATATTTTTTCTCTATACCTTGTTAAAAGATTTGAAAGTTTAATGTAGGGAATACGTTTAAAATTCTAAAAAATTTGGAGAAACTTTTTGCTGTCAACCTCAAAATCTAAATAATTTTTTTTCTCTATTACATTTTTTTATCTGCACCCTATTTAGAGAGTTAATATTTTTATACTGAGAATTAATGTAGAATTTTAGTCAAAAAATTTCTTTTACAGTTAACTTCAAAGTCTTAAGTTAATTTCTTTTGAAAACTTCATTTCGATAAAATATGTAGTAATTGAATTTAAATTTTTTTTAAATATTTTACTTGTTTAAGAATATGATTTTATTTTTTAATATTGATTAGAGTGTGCAAGCAACGAAAGCAATGATAAAGATGCGATTGCACATTCAACTCCCCCTGGTGTTGGAGACGGAGGCGAAGCTTCTACCGCAAATGGGGAGGAATCCAGGATCTCGTTTTGCAGTCATGTCTTGGAGAATGTGACATTACAGCTTAAAAGAAAGCAAGAACAGCTGAAATTAAAATATATTTTATAATTTGCAATAGAATTCATCAAACATTAAAAATAATTTATTACAAATATTATTTTCAAAGCTACATTGTTTCGAATATTACAAGTAGCTATACATGTTTTAGTAAATAATAAAACTAATTGATAAGAAATAGTAATTATGAATAACACAAAAGAACCTCACAAAGCATATAAAAGCACAATTGGTTTTGTCTGCAAAAGGAATTGTTTTAAATAATAACTACATAAGTAAAATTTATTTCAACATGATTTAAGCAATATTTTAAATAAGCAGTCAAAGATAACAAACTTGATCTTCCACCCCTGAGTGCAGGATGAGGGTAACCTTTGAAATCTTAATTATGAACTTTTTCGGATTCTTCAGAAAAATTAGCCTAATTTGTTTGTCTATATGTTTATGCATTTTGCTTCACAGATGATGTTGTAATGGAGAAATTTATGTACATAATAGGTACTAATTGTTTAAAATGATTTGTTGAGTTAATTGAAAAAAGAAAATTAATAAAATTTGTTCTTTATTTTTAAAAAATTTTTTTTTGAAAATTTAAAAAAAAATTCTATACAAACAGTTTGAAAAAATGTCTAGTTTTATGTCATTAATTTGATGAGCCTCCAGATTTATCATTTTAAACTAACTAATCTAACTGTCTATAATTTTCAAAATCTGAGACATATCATAATAAAGCCAGATCCTTCAAAAGTTAAGACCCAATAGTATTACTCTTGAAATTTTTTTTTTGCATATATCATCAAAATAAAATTATGAATTAAAACATTATTGTACATAATAAAACTTATTTACCCAAAAATAAATGGCAGGGCTCCATACAAAAAATAATATTTCATCATTTAATTTACTCATGATTAAATTTGGAATTTNTTAACAAAATTTAATAATTTCTATATATTTTAGAGCTTCAAAATTAGTATACTAAATTCAACATGATTGATAATTGTCTAGGATAAAAATAAATATAAAATATCTTGAAGCAAAGCATGAAATTAACCAATGCAGTAAAGGGAGCGCATTCTTATTTCAGCAAAACTTTTAGTAGTAAAACTATTACAATCACCACATTGATAAATATTTTCGCCTGTGTCCATATTTAAAATTAGCTATGTTGTATTTTGCTCTATTTTGTGTTATGATCAAATAGACAGTTAGTTGAAATATTTGACTTCAAACTTTTTCAACTGTTAAGTTTCATCAATATATTAAAATCAAACGACTTTCTAAACTATTCAAAGACAAAATCGGTTTAAATTTTTTAGTGAATATAGTTGACTCTCATTTCTCTGAAGCACCCGAATTTGCTTTGATTCCAAAACAACTGAACCGATTAAACTTTTTGTGACATCACGAACTATGAATTTGGCAGCGGATTTAAACTCTGAATTGAGGCCCTCAAGATCTCAGGAATACAAACAGACCCACCAATTTAACATTTGCTCATTCAAGTATTTAATTTTTTTTAGCCATCACAATTCTTTATCAGCTTACTTTTTTTTATTAAATCTGCAATCTTCTTTATTTAAACTAGTTTCACGAGACTGAATTCCTAAAAAATCAGATCCTATTGCTATGAGCTCATGCATGCTCCCTCAAAACGTTTTGATGGCATGTGTTATTATAAATTTGATTTGTAATAATTTTGTAAGCTTAAAAGTAATTAGTCTTAGATTTCTGAAAGGAATGTTTGAATTCTTAACCATTTTTCCCGTGCTTATGTCTCAGCGCCATGTTTTTTTATTCTTCTTACATTACTTTAATTTAAATAATACAGATTTGAAAAAAATGCATCACTTTCTTTTCTGATATGCATGTGCACATTTTTTAAAAGTATATTTCTATGGAATGTTACCTGTAGAAATTATATTGACAGTTACAGTATAAAACTCTATTTTATGTATAAAAATATAGTTTTTTATTTCATTTTTGATATTTACAAATAAGTAAATAAAGCTGTTTATATCTTTGATTCAATTGTTCGTAGCCAAAATGTACATATTATTGGCAATTCTTATTTTATATTATATATTCTTACTTATACTCAAACAAATACTATTTACCATAAATTAAAAAAAGAGCATACCTATTTTTTTAAATTTTCAGTTATTACCCTTCTCTTTACGTGTAATCCTAATAATTTTAATTCTAAATATGTTTCTTAATTCATTAAATAGTATTTTTTGCCATGAAATTGTGTAAAAAAATAAGTAGTTGTAAATAAATTGTATAAAAAAATAAAATAAACTTTATACCAAAAGATATTTTAATAATAATAAAAAAACATGGATAATCATATTTTTAAATAATTTGTTAAAAAAATTAACACATACATCTTGGAAAATAAATTTGATTTTTGTTGAATAATATTACCCTTTTTCAAAGGTTAAAATTTAAAATATATTTAATGGAGTAAAAAAAGAACATATTTAGTGGTTAAATTTCATTTGTAAGAATTCAGTTAAACAAATTTGCTGCAGCAATTTGAATTAATTCATAGAGTAAATATTTTAAGCTATTTACTCTTTTAATTATGTATCTTTATTGACCTTTATTTATTTTTCATTAAAATAAATGCATGCAGTTATGAGCAATTTTAGGTTTTAAACATTTTATTAAGTAAACAATTCAATCTCATTAGAATGTTATGGAATATAATGTTTATTCAATTGACAAGTTTTGTGAGTACAGTATTTATCACATAATTTTTGAAAAGAAAAATTTAAAACTTATCGTAATATCAATGACATTATTACCATAATTTTTATAAATTTTTTGTAGTCTATTGCAATCCAACCAAAAAAAAGTAACTGAAAAAAAAATCTAATTAAAATATCCTTAGAATGACGAAAAACAACATAATCATCCTAATGCTTAGTGAATATCTTTTTATAATTTAGAAAATTTCTTTGCAAGCAAAAAGAGAAGTAAATGCATGAATTAATAAACAATTGTAAGTTTTAAAATTTATTAAGTATTTTTTTTTTATCTTAATGGCAGGCACTGAGCTTTCATCCTTCACCTTGAAAGATGCCGGAAGTGTTGCCCATTTAAAGTTACCCAATGGGCACCTGTAAAATTCACGGAGGAGAGCAACATTACCCATGCTACACTGTCACAGATACCTGTTTATAGGTTGGGCCACATTCACACAACAGAGAATAGCCCACTCAGAGAAACATCCATGCACTAAGTTGGATACGAACCCGCAACCATTGGTTTCGCAGTCAGGCATGCCGACCACTCGGCCACCTGGTCAGCATTTATTAAGTAACAAATTTAATCTATGAATGTTTTAGTATATGAAGTATTTTCAACCAACAAGTTTTGTAATTACAGTATTTATTGAAGAGAAAAATCAAATATTAATAATAATATCTATCAATAAGATCCAATGCATTCCATTCCCCGATCTAATTATGCAATCCATTCCCTTTTTTTTAACATTTTGCAGTCAATAGAAACCCTAACAAGGAAAGAACAATGAAATAAAAATGTCAGAAAGCTGATCAAAACTACTTAATAATTCATAGCTAATAGATATTTGTTTTATAATCAATTCAAGTATTCTTAATGAAAAGTGTCATTGCAAGTAGAAATTCATCAAAAAAATATTAAAATTTTAAAACATAATAGAAATACCCTTGAGATGGCAAAAATTTAATGAATGGTGGCTAATGGTAGTTTTTAAACAATTTATTTAAGTTTTAATATTGTTAGTAACACTGTAACAATGAGGGCCAAAATCAATTGGACTGTTCAGATTTGCATAACAATGGGAGACGAAAATAAGGAGAATTTGTTTCCTCGCTAGCTATTCCAATTTCAAACGCTTCTTCGGAGCACATGCATTAGCTCATAATAATAGGAGTCGTTTTTGGCGGTGCTCTATCTTTAAAAACTAGTAGTATTCAGCCTTTTGCCCCAGATGTCCTACAAAAGGGCTCGTGCTTCACAAACTCTCATAGATGTTTAAGCTGAGCATGTATTGTGTAATTTTCTCTCCTAGCTATTTACTTCTCCTGTTTTTAATTTTTTACTTCTTTCTTAACTTCATGGAGTATTGGAATATATTTTTCATGTTATTGGTTTTTAGATTTAAACAGTTTTTTTTTAATTATTATTATTTATAAGTAATGTTTTTAAAAAAGAAAAAAAAAATAGATAAGTTAGTTGCTGAAATTACTTACGCAATCGAAATGAACCTAGATTAGTTGTTTCCGTCCTTTGCTCAATATTATTCTGAAGTATGTATCTGTGAATCTTGATTATCAGAGCCTTGTCTGCATCTGTATTATAATAACAAGATT